ATCTCTAGCCAGAGCAAGAAATTACAGGTGGTCAAATTGCTTTCTCACTGAAGTTGTACTCATATCTTTACATAATGGCATTTAATTGATGTAAAATTTAGTACCATTCTGTACCCCTCTTGTTTTAAAAAATGATTCTGTTTTCTCAGACTAGTGTTACTTAGAAAACCTTGGCTAACTAGCAAGTTCCCAAGAATATTATTTAATGTTATACTGCCAAGAACATCTTAGATAATTCAACAAAAATGCCTTATTTTATAAGCCCAAGTATATTTCCTTCTAATTTTGCAATTATTTATTGAGATCTTTTGATTCCAGAGTTGGATATAACAGGGATCCAAAAGAAATATGTATAACTTATAAGGAGCTAATAATTATTTGGGGAAACAAATTAAATTCACATGGAACTGTGAAAAAAAAACAGGAAAGGATATAGTTTATTGCCAACTTGGTAAATTAATAGTTTTGTTGAGTCAGACAGTCATCAGTAATCTGCCTGTAGCACTTACTATTATCATATAATTTTTGGTTACTTAATAAGTCATACTAAGTCTGGCTTTATTTCATATTTTCTGGACTTAAAAAAATAGATTGTAGAAGCCTTATTTTTCAACACTGAAGTCAGAGCACATTGTTGGACACATACTATGTGCCAGCGTACTTATAGGAATTAGGGGTAAAAGTGTGAGCCAAACAGAGAGTCTCTTTACTTAAGTAGTTTTCTGCTTTGTGTGTATATGTGTGTGGAATGGAAAGGGGGCAGCAGTAGGGGTAGAACATGCAAACTCTACATATACAGTGGCCCTGGCTGGGAATGGATTTTTTTTCCCTCATCACTGTTGAACTAAACAATGTTATTAGAGGTCCTGCTATATTTACCCAAATGAGTTCAAAACTTACACACACAAATATGTGCAGGAATGTTTATAGCAATACTAGGGGACAAGTGCATGAATTCGCGTACCTTGATAGGAACTGTGGGTTGCGAGGCTGGGGTCGGCACATGGGAGGGTCTTGGCCCATCTCTTCCCCCACCTGGCCCCTCCCACCGCAGCCCCCAGTCCCCTGTCTGCCTGCAGCCCCGCTTCCACCATCACCACTCCCATGTGCTGACAGCGCCGGCCCCGCTCGCACCTGCTGACGATGCGGAGCGATTGGGGCCAGCACCAGCAGTGGGTGTGAGTGGGGCCGGCCCCTCAGGAGCAGTGGGAGGTAGAGAAGCCCTCAGGGATGATCAGGGCCTGGAGCCACTGCTTGCACCCACTGATGGTGCCAAGGAATCAGAATCGGCGCTGGGCACTGGCAGCAGGTGTGAGCTGGGCTGGCGCCCGCAGCAGGTGTGAACACTAGGCAGGACTGCGGTGCTTGGGAGCAAAATTTTCAGTATAACCACCAGAGGCTCGCCCAATGACAGCGACTGGCATCCTGCCTTAGTCTGGCGCCCCTGCTCACCTGCTCCAAGCAGCAGGTGGGGGCGGGCTGGCCGCCCGCAGCAGGTGTGAACACTAGGCAGGACTGCGGTGCTTGGGAGCAAAGAATTTTCAGTAACCACCAGAGGCTCGCCCAATGACAGCGACTGGCATCCTGCCTTAGTCTGGCGCCCCTGCTCACCTGCTCCACCATCCTGCTGCGGCCAATACCCGCCATGCTCCGTGCACGCCTCCTGGTGGTTAGCACATGACCAGTTCAATTGTTTCACCATTCAGTCTATTTGCATATTAGCCTTTTATTATATAGGATGTCTTTGTAAATTTTTCTAAACCCATAGAATGTACAACTCAAAGAATGAACATTAATGTGAACTATGTACTCTGGGTGATAATGATTTGTCAGCTGTAGGTTCATTAGTTGTAACAAATACACCACTCTGGTGGAGAATGTTGGCTAGAAGAGAGTATACATGTATGGGAGCAGGGAGTATATAGGAAATCTTTGTATTATCTTCTGTTTTGCTGTGAACCTAAAACTGCTCTAAAAAATACAGTGTATATTTTTAAAAGATGAAGATGGTTAATGGAATTTACATTAGAAAAATGAGGTAGTTTTTACCCTACTGCATCTATTTCTGTTTGAAATTTAAGATTTGCTTGTCCCCTGAGAGGTGAGGAGAGGTGAGGAGAAAGGAGGTGTGAAATGGTTCTCCCAGAGAGCAGTAGGTTGAATTTGCTAGGAAATCAGTGGTAAACTTTTCAAGAGAAGAGTGCCCATTTGAGATTTCTAGCCATAACCAGGAAGTGAATTTTAACTTTGTTTGGTAAATTTTTAAAATAACAATACCTGGATCAGCTACTAGTGGTAGGGATCCCTAGTACCTAGATTTTGGTCTTGAAATACTACTTTCTACTAAAACAAAGCTGGGCTTCTTAATGGCTCGTTTTGGCCTGGGGCAAACATTTTTAAGACAAAATGGAATCTCTTCATAACAGAGATTAAGGAAACTATCAGAAAGGCTCGGGGGCCAATGCGAAGAGCTTTCCACTGGTTAAAAATGGGACAATTTGGGTTTCAATAAAGATAATAACTTTAACGGATTAAAACAAAATATGTTTAAATTCCTGAGTTCATATTGATCCAGCACACACACACACACACACACACACACACACACACACACACACACCTTAGGGGAAACTCTTGAAGGATTCTAGGAAATGCATTCTTTTAAAAAACAAATAAACTGATCAGTAGCCTTAACTAGTTTTCTCAGTGGTTAGAGCATGGGCCTACAGTTCAGAGGGTCGCAGGTTGATTCTAGTCAAGGGTGCATACCTGGGTTGCAGGCTCAATCTCGGCCCAGTTAGGATGCCAATGGGAGGCAACAATCGATGTGTCTCTCTCACATCGATGTTTCTCTCACTACCCCTCCTTCTGCCTCCCCTCCATTCTCTCTCTAAAAAAAAAACAACGGGAAAGAATATCCTCAGGTGAGGATTAAAACAAAACAAAACACCTGATAAGAGAAAGACTCAAGCATTTATCCCTTTTTTAAATATAAACTTTACCATAGGGTAACTAAACAATAGGTATGGTGAAAATTCTCTTTAAAGAAGTGTTCCACCAAAAGTAAAATCTTATTCTGTCACCGAATATTTGACGCCCTCTACCCTCCATGAGCACACAATGCAAAATATACACTTGCAACCAATATGTATCATAGCATTGCACACTTGAAACCTATATAATTTTATTAACCAACGTCACCCAATAAATTTAATTTAAAAAGAAGTGTTCCAGCTAATAAATAATGGTTGATAGAATTGGAATATCACCATTTTGAATTAATGAATTTAGATATCATGAATCAGCAACTGCTAAAATCACAAAAAGGACTACAAGATGTTATGTATCTTCTGATAATACCAAACTGTCAAGTGTCTTGTAAGAAAATTTGAAGAATCCATTTAAGCCCTTAGATTCAATTACTAGTACCAATTTTCCAAGAAGTACAGAGTGAAGAGTAACATGTTAATCTGTACTATAGGGATGCAATCAGCAAAATTCAGATTTGGGGAAACTTGACCAGACAAATTAAACAGTAATCCATAGGGATGGTTTGCTATTTGGATGATGAAACTATAAACTGAGGAAATGATACCATAAAAGTCAGGAGAGCCCTGACTGGTTTGGCTCAGTGGATAGAGCGTCGGCCTGCGTACTCAAGGGTCCCAGGTTCGATTCCAGTAAAGGGCATGTACCTTGGTTGCAGGCACATCCCCAGTGGAGAGTGTGCAGGAGGCAGCTGATCGATGTTTCTATCTCTCTATCCCTCTCCCTTCCTCTCTGTAAAAAATCAATAAAATATATATATATATATTTTTTTTTTAAAAAGGAGAGTGGTTATTCTTACGAGGGAGGAGTATTGATTGGGAGAAAACATGTAGAGGGCTCTGGGTAGCTGACAGGATTTTCTCTGCTTTAGTGGATATTCTGTAGAGCGGTAGTTGCCTGATAACACTTCATTAAGCTATACATTTGTTGTATGTAGTTCTCTGTAGCTATGTTTAACAAGACTAAAGTAAAACTTATAAGTGAGATTAAGAAATTTAAAAAATTTCTATCTGAATTTTTACAGTGACTTGTTAGACTTTCAGAGGAACTGGGGGGTATAAGGGTGAGAAATGTAAAAGGCTTCAGTTGAGGCTCTAAATAACAGCATTGCAAACAACAACTAAAGCCACAAATCAAGTAAGTGCCACATGAAAGGACTACTCAGCAGTATCAGTCACTTCAGCCATTGCCAATGCATGTTCTCCTTTCCACACTGTGAATCTATATACATAAAAGCCAAGCTACCTGAACAGTGGAACAACCGGAACAACCTATCGCTATGACTCACACTGTGGTGGCCAGTCGGCGGCCCCCCCAACCTCCCATGACCCCTCCCCCAGCCAGCTCGACCCCCAATTGGCCCTCTCCCTGGCTGACCCTACCCCTGATTGCTCCCCTCCCACACTTGATTGGGGGCAGTGCCGGCCAACCAACCACCAGAGGCACCTCCCCCTGGCCGACCCCTGCCCATTCGGCCCCCACCGGGGTGGGGTGGCCAGACTTCACCCATGCACGAATTCATGCACCAGGCCTCTAGGATTTAATAAATGGGACATACACTGAAAATGCCTGTTTGCATATGCTTCATGTTGTTCTTTAAAGGCTTCTATACAAATTATTTAATGAAAGACTGTAAATGAATCTAGGAGTGGAATTGATAATGCTATTTAAATTCTCTGTAGACAAAATAATGAATGTTTCATTAATTAAAAAAATATTTAAGAATATGTAATAGTTGAATGAATATACCTTTATTGCAGGTGTCAATATATTGTTTAAATATTTTGTTCCTTTCTTATAAGATTTATATGTCTTATTTGTTTAAGGAAATAATTTTCACTAGTTTGATAAAAATGGAGATACATTAAACTGATTTGAAAAAATTTTTAAATGTTCATGATAGTTTGATAAGTCTGAAGTAAATTAAAACTACTACTTTTTTTTTCTGTCAGAGGTCTTTTTATTAGTATCCATGATCGAGGGCATATTGCTTCAATTCTTGATGCATGGCCAGAAGATGTCATCAAGGTAAGTTATCAAAGTTTCCCACTATGAAAAATTTGTTATTTTCTCTCTCCTAAAACATATTGATAGTTATCATGACCTTTAGTAGCATTCACTAGCTTTTCTAGGACTAGTAAATGTCACCTAATTTACATCCCTTTCATTTTTGTATATCGTTTGGATGCTGTTTCCTCATTATTTCAATCTAATTTCTTAGAATTTCTTTATTCATTGAAAGCGATGATAAATGTTGAATAAATGTTGAAATGGTGTCTGGGTATGTTTAAGCAAATTCTGTTTTCATATTAAGCGTTCAATAAGGGGAACCCAGGTAGGCAAAAAATGAGTTAATTTCCTTTATCATTTGGAAATTAGAAAGCTCATGAGACTTCCCTCTGTGAGTGAACTGGTCAAAATAAAGTAACAATATAATTTGACATTTCATATGTTTCTCTTTGAGACACTGTACTTGGACTCACTCTTGTATTTATCCTGATAATTTGTGGAGGAAAGGAAGGCACAGCTTATCAGAGGGTTACACAGCAGTGCATGGTGGTGTGGGAACTGAATGCAGGTCCCAGAGCCTTTGCTCTTAGACATGTGCTCGACCACCTGCCTTGTCTAAGGAAAGGGAGATGTTCTTGGCCCTCCTTGGCCCCCCTTTCCTTTCTGTTAGGTGCTCAGCAACTCTGTGGTAACTTTCAGGATTAAGATTGAATACACTGACATCTGTGGTACAAAGGCTCTTCAGCTGTGACTTCTGAAGTGTTACTTCCTTAATGGTCTTTTCTGTTTGAGCAGTTGTGGCTAGAAGTGGTTCACTCTGTTCTTTAAGGCTCATGCTGGGCAAACTTGTAAAGCAAAATGTTTCTTACTGTTTCCAGTCTTCCCAGTTTTTTCTCTTTCTCCCACTAAGTTGCTCCCTCAATTTTTCTCCCACCAAGTAGTCTGCACTGTCCACAGGTCCAGTCCTTAGGAACTACCCTAAAAATGTGCTAATTCGATAAAGCATAAATGTCTGATCCTCTAAGAAGAAGGATACTTACATTTACTTATGTTAACATTTATTTATTTTAATCTTCACCCAAGGATATGAGAGAGAGAGAGAGAGAGAGAGAGAGAGAGAGAGAAAGTGAGTAAGACACATTGATTGGTTGCCTCCTTCATTCTTCCTGACCAGGGCCAGGGATCAAACCCAGGTACATT